TCTTAGTGTAAAAACTCAATGAAGCGAAATATTAATAAAGACATTGGCACCCTTGGAGGGAAAAATCTAACGAACAAGGCAGAGATAGTGATAACTTTGCCTTTTGCAAAACCAACATAAAGTATGCGCCTGGATCAAGGATCTATCGCTAACCGAAGGAAAATGCATCGTGATCAAAAAATTTAGAGACATTTCATAAATCAAGCGGACGTTCTCAGTGAGTGAAGTCTGCTCAAAGAAACTAGTAGAACTTTGGGGGCCTGGCTGTCAGGGATCTAGGGCGATAGATAAGCATAACTGTCACAGAAAATTGGCATTATGGCAAAAATATACTAGAACCCTACTTGATATGCCGCAACGCCTAATATTTGCAAGCATGGAAAGCAGAGCCTAGGAATCTGCTCGATCTAGAGGCAGTGTACGTGCTTCTAAGGCCTTGAGGAATAGCGCATGGAGTAAAACTCCAACTGGAACTGGAACCGTGTAAAATCGGTAAGCCAAAAAGACAAACCATACTACTACTAGTTCCTCTAGGTCAGCAAGCAGAAGTGAATTTTATGATTCGAGCCTTTCTCTCAAGGTGGAATTTTCGATTGAACAAAGCTGTATTTTCTATAGCAATCGTCTGCAAGAATTTTTTTGTTTCCAAAATGGCTTTTGATACTACAAATAGAGCTTGAATAAGATCTATGTTCGCCCTAACTCGTACAGGGTGATAAAAGACTGTCAGTTAAAGTTTCTCATAAAGATATGAGCCGGCCTAAGGTATTGATTCATTTCGTTGTGAGAAAATTCAACGATCAGACCATTCATATTAAGAAAAATTTGAAAAGTATACCTCTTATTCGAGATTTAGTGATAGTCTCAAAAGACTAATAAACGAAAATAGATAAGACCAAGAGGAACGAATCTAAATTGGAGCCCATAGTACGCATGATAATTTCCAGAGTCGGACCGTGGACGTGGTGCTTTCCCAGACATTTCGCCGGCATCGTAGTTGGCATCCTCAGTGAACATTGCCATTATTAGCACCACAATACAACTCGTTAGAGACAAGTTAAGCCGATCCTTTGACCGATCTTCTGTTAAACAATCGTGGAATCTCTTCTTCCCCCATGGGCTAATCACCAATTCTATATCCTTGTATTACCCCTTCACTATCACAATTTTAACTTGCCTATTTAGATGTGGAATGGTGTGCCTTTTTGAGCGTATGTCATGAGGACTCTCCAGACTGCGTGCTGGCTTTCTCACCCCCTCATCCTCTACACACATGTTCAGGGAATGCTGATCAGCGCATGCCATATTTTTCTGCAGTCCTCCTCCCATACGTCTTATCAGAGTCTTCCTCTTGCCTTTAGTGAGCTGTAATAAACATTAAT